CATATTGTTAAAATGAGTAATCTATTCAATCAATTTACCTAATATTCAACATCGGATGACCTGATACCGGCTCATCCATAAGAGTTGACCTAGCACCTTGTCCAACTCCGGGGTATCACACAAACAAAAATAATAAAAATAGTATATTGAGTTGGGAAGAAAGGAATATAAAATTTGAATCAGGAGTTGGGAAGACGTCTTTAAAACACTCTGGTTTTAAAATATATCTAAAAATACGCTTAGGCCTTCTGAAACGCATTTGATAATCAATTGTATTTCCCAAGTCATTTTATATACACTTGACAACATCAAGACCTTTTGAAAATATGTCCAGGCCATATAAAATATACGCCAAGATTTTTTGAAAATACACTAAACGTTTTGAAATCATGCCCAGTCTTTGGAAAAGCTAAGCCACACAAAGCTGAGTGTGTCGGGATTGCAGACTGGCCCCACAGGTCAACACAAATCCTTTCAATGCGCATGGTGAGAGACTTCCTAGGGAGTCATCCATCCTCAAATTATAAATTACTTTGGAGCAAACACACTTAACTTTAAAGTTCTTTTAGTAGAGCTCCCAAAAATAAATATGCACATTGTTGACATGAGTAGTCTATTCAATCCATTTAACCTATATTCAACCTTGGATGGCCTGGCACCGGCTCATCCATGGGAGTTGGTCAAACAACGGCACACCGGGGGTATTACACAATTTTTGCATTAGTCCAGGTGATTTTTGTATTAGTCCAGGAGACTTCTAAATCAGCCCATGCGACTTCTTCATTAGTCTGGCTGATTTTTGCATGAGTTTGAACTACTTCTGCATAGGTTTGGACAATTTCTGCATTAATTTGGATGACTTTTCTGCATCAACTTGGAGACTTCCGCATCAGTTAGTCCAAGCACCCTGCACATGCACATTGTTTGGGCGCCCTTCATTTTGCGTGCACACGGTCCAGGAGCTCTATAACTGTTGTCTGTATTAAATTTTTTTCGAAACACAATTGCACACGTCAAATACATCTCTACACATGCACGCCTTTTTTATTTTGAATTTTATTTTAGAAATGTCATATTTATTATTCGCACCCTGGGGTGGCTTTCAATTCACCATGCTTGTGAGTCGACCATGCTCGGCAGGCCTTGGAGTCGTAACTTTTTAATGCATTCAAAATGATTAATTTTTTATGGCAACATTATTATACAGTTAAACAATAGATTTGCTATTTGCAACAAAATTCCTAAGCAAATTAATTCAAACAACAACTTTGGTTCTGGCTTTGAGATTTTTAAAAAGAATTGCTATTTTAATTGGCATTACTTGTAATAATTTTTTAATTATAATGTGGGAACAGTAACCAACAATGGAAGATCAGGTTCCTAATTTTAGGGGAGGTTTGTTATGTTGTTCTTTATTTTTATTTTATTATTTACTTGAAGTTTTTTGAATGTTGTGTTCTCATGTAAGAAAATTGTAATACCAATTTTAAATTGAAATCCCAAAACTCTTTTTAATGTGATATTGAGTCATAGTATTTGTATTGGCTATTGATTCATTTCCAAGGGGAGTTTGAATATTGTTGTCGCACGTAGAAAAATTGTGAAAACTTCCTCCTAAATATAAGATTAAAGAACTATTCAACTTAATATTTATTGATTTTAAGTTGGAATCCAAAGTCCATCTTAACAAAATTTCAATATATTTCAGATTGTAAATCATTGTAGTTTTGAACTGAAAATTCATCTTTTTTTTATATGAAAAAATTATAAAAACCTACTTGATGTTGGGTGGTAACTTTGTAATATTTAGAATAAAAATTTATTTTTTACACTGAATATATATATATCTATATATATATATATGTGGATGTTCTCCTCAAGCCCCGATGGAGCTACCGGTAGTAAATCAACTTTCAAAGTTTAGGGGGTAAAATATCGATTCACTTCTATCGATCTAACATTATCTTTTGTCTATTTTTTTTGGCACAAGTGGAAAAAGTAATGAAGAAAAAAAAAAAAAGAAAGAAAGATATAAGCAAGATAGAGGTGATAACTTGGAATTGAACGGAGAGCAAGACTATATATATATAATAGTAGATGGACAACATCAACAATAATAGTGAATTGTATTGCGATTGCAATATATCCAAAATTTAAATACAATCAAATGTAATTGTGATTAAAAGTATATGATAGTTATTCAGATAATATATTTGAATAATTTGAGAGAAAAAAATTGGATCTGATATTCCGTAATTTTGAAAATATACTATAGTTGGAGAATTTTTCAAGATACAAATAATAATAAAAAAAGACTAATTACTTCTTAACCGTCATTAATCTAAAAAATTTAATTTAGCTAATGATTCGTAATAGTTATTGCTGAATTCAAACTTACTGAAGCTATACACTCGTAAAAATAATTATTGGGTCTCCGGACAACAAGAATTGTATCAACATATATATATATAAATGAGATTTTGTCCCAAAAATAAATTTTATCCCTCTATCCCCACATACATAATGTATATATACATATACATATGTGTATGTATAATATATACACGCGTGTGTATATATACATTCTATGTGTATAGGGATAAATGGTAATACACGTAACCTATTGCACACAAATTTGGTATAATATTATCATTCCAATAAATAAAATATTGATATTATTGTTGTTGCTCCTCTATTTTAGCTATATATATACATATATTAGCACAATGTATATATAATATATACATTTTATTCATTAAAAAAATAATTATTATATATAAAATATTAATTTTTATATTACCATATAATTTTTCATACATATAAAAAATACATTCATAAAAAAAAAATACAAAATGAATACATATATTAATAGTATTACAAAAAATAAGTAATCATAATTCTAAAATTAAGATATTATAAATATTATCAAAGAAACATATACACAACACACACTAAATATAAACAGTGCTATTTGTTACTGTGTTGATTGAGTCAAATCGACATATCCTGATTTGACCCAATTAAAAATATCTTTAAAAAAATAACAAATATTGATATAATATATAATATATATTTAAATAGTACATTATATAATTACATGTAGCAAAATAAATATTGATTTTAGCAAATTATTATGATTTCAACATAATAATAATTTGATCTAATAAGCAAATATTTATAATTTGATCTAATCAGCAAATGTTTAGGGTAAACTGATTTTTTATTTCTGTAACTGGAATCATTTATCATTTTACTCCTATAACTAGAAGTTGTCTTAAAATAATTTAGTAAATGAAAAATGTTCACACATTTAGTCATCGATGCCTACGTGACATTTGCGTAGCATGCCGACGGACACATGTCGGCAAGGTTAGCGCCACGTGGCGGACACGTGTCCGGCACATGGATAATTATTATTTTTTAATATTTTTTAAAAATATAAAAATTAAAAAATATATATATATATAAAATAAAAAAAATAAAACTTTAAAAATAAAAATAAAATTAAAAATAAAAATAAAAATAATCTATATATTCATCGAGCCAGCGTCATATGACCTTTAATAATTTATATATTAGTATATTTTTTGGTTATATATTTATTTTTTGGCCTTTAAAAAATTAAAATTATCCAAGTGGTGGACATGCGCTGACCTGACCAATATGTATCATCATGTATGTCAAAAAGGTGCCACATAGGCATCGAGAACTAAATGCGCGAAAATTTTTCACTTACGGAGCTATTTTAAGACAACCTCCATTTTACATGATAAATAATACATAGGTCCGACTACAAAATTTAAAAAAACAGCTTATCTTCTCAAAACTAGATTGTTGATAACTCGTTATAGAAGATACATAGCAGGCAAAGATGCCAACACACAAAGAAAATCTTTGATATTTCTCTACGTTTCTTCAAAATGAGTTGTTACGAGTATTTAAAATACTTGCTTATTCAAATACCAATGATAAATCATAATGTCAATTAAATGAATTTGCCACCCGTATTTTTTGGTTATGCCACTCATCCCCAAAACTATTAATAACATTATAGGAATATCAGACAACAAAATAATGAGCTTTCTAATTTAAATTTTACAAAAAAAAAAAAGATATTTTTAATATTAAATATAACGATTCAAAAAAACAAATGTATAATTTACGAACGAACGGATGAGAGAATATTATATTAATATATTAGTATTTAAATAAAATTTCAAATCAAATACTATTTCTAATCAATTGTAAATCACAATAAAAAAAAGTTCATAGTTATTTATTTAATTTTTTCTTTTGTAGTATTATTTCAGATGCATGTCTGCGTTATTTGTGGCCGGTGAATAGATTATGAATTAGGTCACTTCAACTCACTGAATAAAGTGCAGAAGGTTGCAAAAATTAGGGAGAGGGGCTCCAATCCAGCCCTAAGTCCGCCCTCCCCTGTTAAGTGTTATTCTATTTTTGGAGCAAAGTTTTTGTAGGTTTTTTTTTTTGTATATTTTTATTATTATTATTTTTTGAATATATTGTATAATTTTATATTTTTAAAAGATGATATATAATATTATATTTTAAAAATTGATATGTAATTATATTTTTTTGAAAAATAATATATAATTTTATTTTTTCAAAAATAAATTATAATTTTATTTCTTTAAAAGTGATATAATTTTACTTTTTTTAAAAATAATATATAATTTATTTTTTATATATAAAAATATAATTTTAAAATAAAATATAAATTATATATATATTTGAATTATAATGTAAAAATAAATTAAATATAAAGTGTAATTTATAAATATTAAAACTTATATAAAATAATATACAACAAAGAATATAGAAGGAATATGCTTTTTTTAAAAAAGGAATGTATTTTTAGCGTGTAGAGTAACTGCATTTTTACAGCTGTAAAATGAAAATTCTAACTATCTGTTTGTCGTGCATTTGTTAATTTGTTCCATGGAAATGTTATATATATATATATATATGAAGGAGGCACTGTAGTGCAGGTGGGTTCTGTGGTAACAATAATAAATCAGAGTTGTTGCAAGAGGGAAAACTCCAAAAACATCCGAAAATGGCGGAAGACGACTGCAGCCAAGAGTACGCGGCGACCCTGCTGCAGAACGATAACTACGTGGAAGGTTGCGCAGGATGCAAAGTCGATCAGCGTAAAGACATCCAGAAAGGCCTCCCGATCAAGGAAATTTTCCTAGTATGGGTTCTTATTCTTTCCACATGTAAGTTGATTGATTGATTTCATTTTCACCATTTCTTAACGGTCGAAGCTAGAGTGCAACATTTCTAGGGTTTCAGACATGCAGGGGAATTGTGTTATTTTTTATTTTTTATTTTGGGGGTAATGTGATGCCTGTCTGTTGGATTTCGATAGGGCTTTTGGAGGACGTAGCAAAATTGATCTGTAGTTTCAGATTCTTTTCTAGTTTGCTGTATTTTGTATCATTTTGTTTGGTAATGAAACAGTGGTTTTGTCCTCAGAATCTGGTTCGATTGCTTCACGATTCGTGGTTAGAATATTCTTCTTACTCTGCTGTATCCTTGTTCATTGCAGCTCTGCCGATAACGTCTCTCTTCCCATTCGTTTATTTCATGGTAAGTAGTCAGGAAGTTTTTTTTATTACAATACTGTGAATCATGAAGTAGAACAGAGGGTGTGCTGAGAACAGCGTACGATTGTGATAAAATTGATTCCTGGCTACAGATAAGGGATTTCGGCATTGCGGACAGAGAAGAAGCCATTAGTTATTATGCCGGTTTTGTAGGTTGATCAACAACTTCGAATTGAAATTTCTCAATCTTGTCGACAAGGCTAGCTAGCTAATGAATGTCTCGATCATTCTAGTGTTTTCTTAACTTTGGACTTCGATTTTTGAAGGGTCTTCTTACATGCTTGGAAGAGCTTTGACATCCGTCATTTGGGGAACTGTTGCAGATCGATATGGCCGGAAGCCTGTACTAATCATAGGCTGTGGCTCAGTGTTAGTGATTGAATCTTCTTTTGTTTTTCTTCTTCTTACAACACTCAACTTCATATCTAACGATGTTTCTGTTCTTGCCTTTTATTACAGCATAGTGTTCAATACTATGTTTGGACTTAGCGTAAACTTTTGGATGGCTATCGTGTCAAGGTTTATCCTCGGAACTTTGAACGGTGTATTTGGAACTGCCAAGGTATGTCCGTAAAAGACAGCTGTTTTAGCCATACATACCAAATGTTTTGACAGCTTTGCTACACGACCAGGCATATGGGTGCGAACTAGTCCGGGACGAGTACCAAGCTTTAGCAATATCCGCAGTAAGAAGTTATTACATGCTTTGTAATACATCGACATCCTAGGCGATAGGATTAGCAACATAACATTGAACATGAAAACTGCACAGGCCAGTACAGCATGGGGCACTGGGCTTGTTATTGGACCGGCTTTGGGAGGCTATCTTGCTCAGGTATATATATATATATATATATATTGTAATAAGGATTAAAACTTGTTTGTCCAAATGATTTGTAACGTTGTTGCGGATAATGTTGGAATGAAGCCTGCGGAGAAATATCCAGGAATGTTCGCATCAGATTCGATATTTGTGAGGTGCTTCTTACTTCTTTACCACGATTAGTTTACACACTCTGCAGCTACTGTGGTTTTTCGTTTTTTGTTTTTTTTTTATCGAGACAAGTTCTTTTGTAGATTTCCCTACTTTCTTCCTTGCTTGATTACTTCAGTTTTCGCGGCTATCGTCACTTTCGCTTGTTTGTGGATTCCGGTATGCTCTTGCTTCCCTCCAATGATCAGTTAGAAAATCATCATGTGTAAAATGTTTGAAATTTGAATGAGTGTAGGAAACCTTGCACACGCACCCGGCGAAAAATCAGGTGTCGGCGCAGAACTCGTACGATACTTTGGAAGTCACATTTGGAGGCTTGGATGAGACCAAGGAGTGGCAGAGGAAAAGCTCTTCAGAAAAAAGCCTTTTAAAAAACTGGCCCCTCATGTCGTCCATCATTGTTTATTGCGTTTTCTCACTTCAAGAGATGGCTTATACCGAGGTATGAATGATCTTTATCGCCATTTATTGTCCAAGATTTTTTAAATGTGCAAAAACATTGTCGAAAGATTTTAGATATTTAGTTTTAGATTCAGTAGATTTATATTTTAGATATTTTGTTTTGTATTTTGACGATCAATAAGACAATTTTATTATTTTTCCCCAAAAATTGTAATACAGATCTTTTCGTTATGGGCGGAGAGCCCCCGAGAGTTGGGGGGCTTAAGTTATACCACTGAGGATGTCGGATCGGTTCTTTCCATCTCTGGTACGTTCAATTCGATCCAATTCAATTTTATGATCATTCGCTCGGTAACACGAGTGCTTCCTCGAAACTTCAGGTATCGGATTGTTAGTGTTTCAGTGCTCATTGTATCCACCCTTCGAGAGGATCTTCGGCCCAATCGTGCTCTGTCGAATTTTCGGAGTATGCGAAGATGCGATATTGATATGGAGCTGTTTTTTTAAAGCACGTTACGGTTATTTAAGTTAATGAATGCTCACTGCAGATAATTTCGATTCTTCTATTAACAAGCTATCACTACATAGCGAAGCTCGACGGGATTGCGCTCTCCATCGCGATTAACTGCGCCTCCCTCTTGAAGAACACTCTCTCGGTATGCACACGAAAACCTCGCCATTGTTGTCGACGTTTTCTTACTATGCCTTGTTTGCTCACTTTCTTGCAGCTCTCCATTCTTACAGGATTGGTCATTTTGCAAAATAGAGCTGTGGTAATTCTTTACGAAAATCTTTTATAGTTTTTCTTACAAAATATCACGTCCATCCAAGTCCGACGATTCTGCTTTCTTTCATTCGAGTTTAAATTGACATGCATGGTCGATGGTGAATTCGCATTCGAAATAAAATGTTGCAAAACTAATTGTCAGGATCAAGACCAGAGAGGTGCTGCAAATGGTATCGCGATTTCGTTAATGTCGCTTTCCCAGGCAATCGGTCCTGCCAGCGGAGGGACACTGTGAGTCGTTTCTTACTTAGATGCGATATGATCTATGATCGATGATGTCTTTACAGTCTATTGATGTTGTGTAATAAGTTATAAGTCTGAGAAATTTTATTGACATTTTGTGGTCCTGCTGACATTGTCCATCTTTGGGCAGGCTTTCTTGGGCGCAAACTCGACAAGATGCTAGTTTTCTTCCAGGTATATTATGTGTACTTTGAGTAACTATGATCAATTGAGCATCGTGCTGACAGTACCAGACAACACATAATGTTTCTGACAATATATAGTTTATGTTAATGTAATACAAATGCATAGCTAATTCTCGTAATTCTCCAATGGTTTCGAAATTTAGGATAAAATCTCTTTATACTCTAAAAAATTGCATAACACTCCCTTATACTTTCGAAAACACTGCATGAAACCACACATAATAATTTTCTATCCATATTTTTTTGTATGACGGAATTTCATGCAATATTTTTTTAAAGTAAATAAAAAATTACCGTTCGAATTTCGAAATTATAAGTGAATTACGGACAATCTTGCCTAATAATTGACAATGCGTACTATTATTGATTTTTGAAATAACAAATATATTTCGATAGTACATATGTAATCAATTTGGTGTAACGCTTGTTTGATTTAATGCAGGCGATCTGATGGTTTTCTTTGCCCTGAACGTAATAAATGCCATCGGAGTTTTGATGACATTTAAACCATTCTTAGTGGAGCGTTATCGGAATTGATGATAGCAATATATGATGAGATGTTCGAGGACGAGGAGGCTGTTCTTTGCCTAGGAATGCACCTTGGAAACAAAGTGCTTGGCCACTCCCGGTTCAAATATTAATATAATTATAATGTTTTATATATATATTAAAAAAAAAAAAAAGAAAACAAAATTCGCTGTATTGTGTGGAGTGTATGTTTTGATTTTGTATTATGGTATTCAAAATTTGATTCAAATAATACTTGTGTAATTTTTTATGAGAGAAAAAAAAGTTCATTTTATTGTTAATATTATGTCACTATTTATTTTGATTATTCATTAAATTTATGATTAATTACTTTATATAATGAACAATTTTATTAATTCATAATTTATTATTTCTGCTTTAATAAATAATAATAATAATTTATCACTAATTTTTTTATTTATTTTATTATTTTTTTAATAAATTTTTTATAATACTTTTAGTTTACTTGTTATCTACTTATTTTAACATTAGAATATTATTATATTTTAACTTTCGCATTAAAACAAATTTACATATATTTTCCGGACGTAGAGAGTATTATTTTGGCAACAAAAGAGTTTTCTTTTATCCTTTTAGTCCCGTAAGGGATGATCTGATGGTGTAGGGGTTGGGCTCATGACCGTGAGGTGATGAATTCAAACCCTCGACGCTTCAGGTCACCTACCACACATGGTTCGCCTAGTGTAACTTTTCCGTCGGGCCTGATTTGGTTTACCCAGTGCGCATTTTCGGATAGTGGCTGGTTATCTCTCACACCACCACTTTAGTTTTTATTTTATTCTTCAAATTTTTGCAATTTTATCTATTTAATCTCTAGTTTATTTCCAGCCTTTTTACCCAATTTATTTATTTACTCAATTCCGTTGCCTAATTCAATTCTAAGTCTGATCACAAATTTGGTCTTCTACCTATCCATTGCGAAACCAAGCTTGAATATTTTCTTAAAGAAACTAGAAAATTCTCTTTTATACCATCATGCCCAAACCCAGTAGGCTATTGACGCATTTTTTTAGCAACAACATATTGACGCTCCTAGTAGGACTCCAACGAGTCTTGCATGAACATACAGTTGCACAATTGCAAGTTACTTTTTCCAAAAGTTCCTTCATGTCGAAAAACAAATGAATCAGCAGAAAAACACCGTGCAACCTATGCTGGACAGACTAAGCATGATCAGTCATCCAAAATGCTGGGATGAGATGATAGGCTAGTTACATTGCCGGAATGCATCTTCCAAAACTAGATCTGAAGGGAGATTCAAGCACCACTCTATGATTTGGCGTTGGAGCTTTCCTGATACTTATGGACATCCTAAAGGTCACCATCCGCAATAAAATCTCATGGATAATGGAAGAGAAAGCTCGTAAGGGGAAATCAATGATGATTAGCTCCGAACATCTTGGATTCAATCTCTCAGTGCGGATGTTGCGAAGCTCTGAAGCTATTCCGCCTAAGTCACAATTGTATCTCAATTCATTATTCAATGGGATAATTCTGCACATGTCTACTACTGAATTTCATATCCAAGGAAGAGCAGTTGTGGTGTAAGAAGCTCCTAACGTATGAGGTGTATGACTATCGGCAACTCTAAGATCGTCCCTCATCTCACCAACTCTGGGGATGACTTGTGGATCAGTTATGTCAGCCCCCGGAATATCCTGGGGATCAGCCCCGATAGCTCTAGAAATGATCTGGGGATCAATTCCAACAACTTCGGAAATGATCTATGGGTCTACACCGTCAGCTCTAGGAATGCCCTTGGGAGCAGTGGCTCCAAGAATGCCTTGGGGGGCAATTCCTGCAGTTTCAGAGGTGACCTGGAGTACAGCTCCACCAGCATAACCATTGTTTGGAAGGCAAGGGACCCATCATGAAGGGGATTCTCTTATATTTCTTGGGACATGTCAAGTCCATGGATATCCATCTTGGGCAGTTCCGACTTATTTTGGGAATCTTTTGGTGTTGCCGGTACCAGAGCCGAGGGGGCCTGACTAGGGGAACCGAGTATGATTCTCGATGCAAGGATCGGTTCACCAAGGTTGTCTACAATTGGCCCTTCACATTAAAACTAAGGTAATTTAAGAGGTTGTCTATCATCTCTATGGTGACCCAATCCACTTCCCGTGGGGCCCCATTATCAAAGGACTTTTCCGGACTAGGCGCATTGGACCACCCGCTGCCCAGGAACTCCAAGATTCCAAAATTTACACTTTTTTCTCTAGGGAAGACTCTCACTCGACAATAGAACATATAAGCCAATTCACAGCTCATTGTGGAGAGGAGTTCGGAAATAACAACTGGTACACGCTTCAGTTCTCACTTCCATTAACTGGTTGGGCCTTCACATGGTACACCTTGTTGCGTCCGGTTCATTTTATATATGGGCGGACTTAGAGAGGGTGTTCCACGAGCATTTTTATAGCCCTCTCCTATAGATAACAATCTCAGACCTCATAAATGTACAATAAAGGAACGAGGAACCTATCAAATAGTTCTTAGAATATTTCCGGAGGGTTGTGAGTAGATGCCAACTTCGTATACCCGAGAACCAGATCTTTAACATGTTGATCGATAATATGAATTGATAACACTGATTTCGAGCATGTTTAGTTGATTATTTTTATAAGCATTTGACATGATTTTATATTGAATATGTGCTTGACTAATCCAAAATATCTTGGCAAATGTGTATTTAACCTCTTTTGTATTATTTGATATATTTCGTATTTCAAGTGTTTCAGTCGCATTCTGGAGATTTAAAAGGGAAAAATGGATTCATAGGAAAAGTAGTCTGACAATGTCACGTGATTGTCTCTGGAGGCTGTTAGATTGTTAGCTTGTTCGTGTTGTCAGATCGCTTAAAAGAGCAGTTGGCATTGTAAAATAAAGGAACCTTGAAGTTTAAGTCTAAAGTTTGAATGATAATCCACTTGAGAATGAATCCAGACGGTGGAAATTAGCATATGTTGGAATGGACTTTTGAGAAGATTGTGCCAGTTGGAAAAAATAGAACTTCCATCCTTTCTAGAAGCTCTACCTTGTGCCTATGAATAGGGGTTCAGTCTAGCGCATTTGTAGCAAATCAATTCTCAGAAAAATACAAACGGTTTAGGAGAGCTCTAACTATAAAGAACTTCTCCAGAAGTCTAGTTCGGGTGGCTGTCAGCACTGGTGATAGGATCGTATGCTCACCACCAATCTCATTTACTTTATGCACTTAGATAAATTTATAGTTTTAATATAATAATTGCAATGTTCAATTCACAATGTAAATGCAAACTTCAATTCTTAGTTAATAAAATATATTTTTTTGGTTCATATTACTATCACTCATGGTTGACGTTAGTATAAAGCTACTGTTTTGCGACGCGAATAACATAAATTGCTATTAAAATTGAATTTAATTCAACCAATTGAATATAGTTATGAGGTTCCGTAAGGATTTCACACTACTAGGTCGATTTAGGCCCTATCATAAAAGTGACTCTTAAGCATCTTAGAATAATTAGTAGTAAGTAGAGAGTAAACTAATTCCTCATTCAATTGAATATAGTTATTACGAGTCTCGAAGAGAATGGCTTGTAGGACATTTAAAAATGATTTCAGGAATGAATCATTAGAGAGATAATTGAGTATATAGTTTGTCTTTCCACGATTGCCTCTAGACCTAGTGAACCATTGTTCACGCAAAGCGAATAGGGGACAAGAATTTTTTATAATCATTTTCACGCCATATTCTTCAGTAAGAAGTATATACATAAAACACAAATATAATCCTAGTGCAATCACTCATCATCACTCTCTTTCAACCGGAAGTATTGTACTTTATCACTCAACGTCTTACTAAATATTCACTACCTCTACCACCATAATCTCGTAAACATCCATTAATGCCACATGATATGCAACATAGCAACCATGTTCATTTCATAAGATGTGCTTAGAAAAGAAAGGATTTGATTGGGTCAAGGTGCTGATAAGGAGCAGGGGGCTACAATATTGGCTCAACCCCCCAAGAAAAAGTTGAATATAGTTGGGGAAGACTTGGTCCGCTCCCCTGAGCCTGGACTGGCTAGAGCAGAAGAAGAAGAGAACTTAAATGAAACCCTGAAAGTTGAGCGAAACATTATAGAGTTTATTGCTCACAGAGTAGAGGAGCCTCAAGGAAAATAAAGTGGCTAAATGGAATAATAAGACCGGAGAGAAGGGAAATAAAACAAAATTTATGGAAGATCTCACTCCTGAGACGGCTTAAAAGAATCCACGAACAAAGGCTAAAACAAAGAAGGCAAAAAGCCTAGCCAATGAGCCGACAAGGAAAAAGAAGGACAAACGTAAGGGTAAGGAGATTGATGATGTTGAGATCTTGCTTTCCTGTCTAAGAAAGGATATCACCATTCAAGAGCCCAAGAGTCAGCAAGAAATGACTCCATCAGTCATCCCCGCTCAACAAAAATCCTATATACCAATCCAAACAACTCAATCACCCAAGAGGTCCAACCAATCTAGCATTGAACTTCCTCCCTTTATCTAGCAAGGGGTATTGAGCCATCTTTTGTTGAACATAAGGACGAGTGAGAGCCAATTTTGCATGAAAATATGCTAAATAAGATAGATATTAAAGGAGTACACTGACGAGCAGCCCGCTGCCACCGCTAATGTTGAAACTACCGATAAAATTGCTAAGGTTGAGGCAGTGATAACCAATCTGCCAATTATGCAAGTTTCTTCCACTAATAAGGATGCAACTGTGGGGGTGAGCAAAGGAGAACCAATTATATATAGCCCCCATACTTCAATGGAGACAACACCTACAACCACTCTAACTTCTCTTTTTACAAAATTGGATTTTTTTGCCTTATTTGAGAAGGAGGATAACGAGTAAAGGGAAAGAAATAAGATAAAGGCTCTTTTGCTTGCTGAAATGCAAAAGATAGAAAATGAGAAAACGAGGGAGTCGTGCAGGAGAAGACAATGAAGACTCTGGCTAGATTACTTAAGTGGTGAAATCCATTGACCCAGCTGCAAGTGCACATCAAGACCTACTTCCAAACCGTGAAATCGGAGCAGGAGCAAGGGAACTCGAAGCAGCCAAGCAGTTGATGACCAACCGTAAGCCAACTCTAGAACTAGAGCCGGAGCCA